CTCCAAACACAGGGAGAGGCTCAGCCAAGGGCTGGTCCCCTCCAGTGTCACCCTCTGTGTACACAAGTGCTCTGGGGACGGCGTTTCCTCGTGCCTACAGCTCAGAGACTCCACTGGAGGCTTTCCCTGGAACTCTCCTCTCCCACCTGCACAACCAGCCCGAGTGGCTGCTGTGCTGGGATTTCCCACAGCAGGGACCACCAGGGAAAGCACCTCCCCGGGCCCCTGGATTGGCACTGCTGCAGTGGGGGAGAGCCTGGGGCGGTCTGAGAGCTGCAGCTACCAGTGGGAACCTGCAATCATGTTTTCAGCCAGATTATCCCATCCCTTTGCAGTAATGTGGACAGCAATGCACTGGACAGGTATTTTATGCCAGGTTTTTCCATCATGGATAGGCTGCTTTTCCCAAGGTGCTAATGTGGAGTCTCCCTTTCAACCAACACTGCCAGCATGGGACACTTCCCCCCAGGTTCCCTCGTTAACTTCCCGAAAAACCATGGAAACAACACATTTAAGGCATCTTTGGGCACTTAAAGCATCAAACAGAAAATCTATTTGTACCCCAAAAACTGCCAAATTCCACTGTGAGGGCACACTGACACACCAAGGGATGTTCACACACATCCAGACATCCCAGGCCAGAATCCAGGGAATAAAACACCTCTGCCTTCCAGTTTATGCACTCCAGAAATAAACACCCCCTGGCCAGAATTGGTCTGACTGGTGGGAAACACTTCCAAACTCTGCACGTCCTAAACTTGGTGGTGCTGCTCTTGAAGGCCCCAAACCCGCAGCCAGACCAACAACCAACACCAATTACTCAATTCCTGATTGCTCAAGGATCACCAAAAGCACAGGGACCGGGCAGCAGGAGCCTCCATGTGCCCGCTGACTCCTCAGCTATGACGTTGCCTATTTTTAACTTTGGGAATTGAAATAAACCTCGGGAGCGGGATGGGAGGGCGAGGAACGCCATGTGATCCCAGCCAGGACCTGCCAACAGCGCTGGAATACACCAGGGCAGCAAATCCCTGCAGCCCCCAGAGCCAAGGCAGCCCTGGGAAGGGGCACTGTTAACCCACTGTCACACACACACACAAAAAGGGAGCAAAACCTCGAGTTGAGGCCCTAAAAGCTTTTGGGCAACGACATTCTTGACACTTCATTGTCCCAAACATACTCTTTTTCCCCACTTTGAATTACCCAAGGCTTGCTTAAGACAGTCTTTTGATGTGCTGTAGTCCAAGCTGCAATTTTTGGGCGGCATTTCCACACGGATGAGGAAGTCCTTACACCCAGCACTAAGATTTACTCTGACACTCCACGTTCTCCTGCCCTCACTGAGCAGCTGCACTGCCCATCATTTCAGGGACTTACAGCAAACACAAAAGCCAGATCCAACTCAAGCCCCCCCCCCAGATCATTTTCTTTTTCACCCAGATGTGGGTAGACACATGTTACACCACTGGGGGCTGCAAGAAAACGCAGAGCCGGGAATTCTCCTAAATTTCCAGAGCCAGTCACCAAGAGGGTGAGAAGCTGCTGACCTGAACTGTTCATCTGCAAGACAAGATGTTCAGGGCAGGCAAACAAAACGCTGGGCTATACCTGGAAGGATGTTAGGGCCCAGGCCTGTCCCACAGCACAGATTACACGGAAAAAGGAAAGCCAGGGAAAAGACACATCCCTCCTTGGTGATGTCAGGGCAGCTCTACCTTGGTCAGGAGCTGCACAAGCGAGGAAGGGCCGGAGCCAGCCCGGCCAAGGTGGTGGTGGGGGGGAAGGACAGCTTTGTTGGGCGAGAAAACAGACCCCACCCACGAGCGCGATCGTTCCTGAGCCACAACGCAGGCCCGGGGATCCCACCGCCCTCCTCCTGCCCGCGGGGAGCGGGATTAGCGCTGATGGAAGGGGCCAGGTGGGCTCTGGCGGCTGGCACAGGGCGCGGGGGACGGCGAGGGTCGCTCGGGGTCACCCTGGGCGAGGAACCGCGGGCAGGGAGGGAGGGAGGGAGGCACGGAACCCACCCTGCCCTGCAGCGGGGGCGAGCCGGCGTCGGGCGGCACCGGGGCGGCTCTGCCGGGGCTCCAGGGCGGGGACAGAGGGGCTTTGGGGGGACACACACACAGCAGTGGGGCTGGAAGGGACACAGAGGGTTCTTGTGGGGGTGACACGAGAGCGGGGCTGGAGAGGGGGGTCCCTGAGGGGACACACGGGGTCCTTGTGGGCTGACACAATGGGGGTCTGGGGACACACACAGGAGTGGGGACTGGGGGGGACACGGGAATGACAGAGAAGGTCCCTGGTAGGGACACAGGAGCGGGACAGAAAGAGGGGGGACACAGGGGGTCCCTGGAGGTGACATGAGGTATGAGGGGGATACAGGAGTGGGACTGGTGGGGGACACGCAGGGGGCTCCCGGGAGGGGACGCAGGAGCGGGGCTGCGGGGGGACACAGGGGATCCCCGGAGAGTGACACAGGAGAGGGCTCGGGGGACACAGCGGGACCCCGGGAGGGACACTGGAGGTCCCCGGGGAGCGGGGGGACACACAGGCATCGGGCGGGGGCGGGGGGGGCGCGGGAGCAAAGGAACTGACCGATGGTGGAGATGAAGGTGGTGTTGAAGGCATCGTCGGAGAAGCGGAAGAGGACGCAGGTCTTGCCGACCCCCGAGTCCCCGATGAGCAGCAGCTTGAAGAGCAGGTCGTAGGTTTTCTTCGCCATGGGGGAGGGCGCGGCGGCCGCCGCCGCCCCTCCTCGCCGCCTCCTTCACCGGGCCCGGCCGCTCCCGAGGGCGGCGGCGACGGCGCAGGACGAGGAGGAGGAGAGGAGGAAGAGGGCGAGGAGGAGGAGGAGAAGGAGGAGGAGGAGGAGGAGGGGGCCCACAAAATGGCTTCCTGTGGCGGGGCGGCCTCGCGCGCTCCCCGCGCCCGCGGCTCCTCACGGGGCGGCGGCGGCGCCCGCCCTCATACCCCCGCGGCGCTGGCGGTGCGGCGCGGCGTGCCCCGGCTGTGCCGCGGCTCCGTCCCGGCTCTGTCCGTCCCGGCTCTGTCCGTCCGTCCCCGGTTCCCCGCCGGGCTCGCGGCGGCTCCTCGGAGGCGCTGCCGAGGCTGCGCGCGCCGCCTGCCCCCCCCCGACCCCCCCGCGGCTCCAGCGCCCCGCACCGCGCAGGCCCGGCGGGGGCGCGCGCGCACCGCCCGTGACGTCACCGCGCGGCCCCGGAGTGCGGCCGTTCGGGGGGTGGCTGAGGGGTTTTGGTGATATTTTTTTTTGTTGTTGTTTTTTTTTGGGTTTTTTTTTTTTTTTTTTTTAATTCCCGAGGGAAGGGACGGGGATGCAGCGGTGGGGCTCCTTGGGAACCTCGTGGGGTTTAGCGAGGCCAAGGGAAGGTGCTGCGCTTGGGTATGAACGACCCCCGGGATCGATCCAGGCTGGGGATGAACAGACCGAGAGCGGCCCTGGAGAGAAGGACATGGGGGGGCTGGTGGGGGAGAGGCTGGACATGGCCCAGCCCAGAAACCCCCCGTGCCCTGGGCTGATCCCACAGGGATGGTGGGCAGTGAAAGAGGGGATCTGCCCCTCTGCCCCCTCAGCTGAGACCCCCCTGCAGAGCTGCCTCCAGCCCTGGGCAACAGCAGCACAAGGACGTGGAGCTGCTGCAGAGAGTCCAGAGGAGGCCGTGGAGATGCTGCCAGGGCTGGAGCCCCTCTGCTCTGGAGCCAGGCTGGGAGAGCTGGGGGGGCTCAGCTGGGGAAGGGAAGGATCCAGGGATCCTTCTCTTGGAGCCCCTTCCAGAGCCTAAAGAGGCTCCAGGAGAGCTGGAGAGGGACTGGGGACCAGGGGGAATTGGCCAGAGGAAAGGGTCAGATGGGATTTTGGGGAGGAATCCCGGGACATCCCGCCCTGAACCTCTCTCAGGTGGGACCGGCCCCGCAGAGCCCCCCCCGTGGTGACGTCACCGGCGGCCGCGCGGCCCCGGCGGCCCCGCCCCTGCGCCGCCGTAAGTCCCGCCTCTTCGCCGCGCTTCCCGCGCTTCCGTTGGCTGCGCCCGCCTGCCAGTCAAACCTCCGCCCCCAGAAGAGGGTGACGTCATCGCGGAGGGGGCCGCGCGCGAGCGCGGTCCCGGGATGGCGGTGGGGGCGGGAGGCGCCCCCTGGCGGCGGCGCGTGAGGGGGCAACGAGCCCTGCCGGGGATCCCGCCCTGCGCCGCCGGGAACACAGAGATTCCTGGGATCATGGAGCGGTTTGGGATAAACGGACCTTGGAGATCATCCAGTCCCACTCGCTGCCATGGGCAGGGACACCTTCCACTAGCCCAGGTCACTCCAAGCCCCGTCCAACCTGGTCTTGGACACTTCCCGGGACCCAGGGGCAGCCACAGCTTCTCTGGGCAACCTGTCCCGCAGTGCGACCCAGTGCACTGCCAGCTGCAGTTTGCTTTCATAACTGAGTATCCTGCCATCAGTCATTTCCCACTGCTTGCAACGTGAGTTATCTCAAACTCATCTGGGGACAGGGTGGCTGGAAAGCTGGAAAAGGCCCTGGGGGTGTTTGTGGCAGCAGCTGGACACGATCCCAGCTGTGCCAGGGTAGGCTCAGGTTGGCCAGGAGGAGGAATTTCCTCATGGAAAGGGTGGTCAGGCACTGGCGGGGGCTGCCCAGGGAGGTTTGGAGTGCCCAGCCCTGGAGGTGTCCCAGGAAGGCCTGGCCGTGGCACTCAGTGACAAGGTGGGCATCGGGCACAGGGTGGGCTTGATTATCCTGGAGGGCTTCTCCAACCTCAGTGATTCTCTGAAAAGGTTTTATGAAAGTCGTGTCCCTCCCAAGGTAGGGCTGTGAAGACGCACTCTGGGGTTTATTTAGTGTTTTGGTCCCTCAGCCCTCCCGGTGCCTGCAGGCAGCTGCCCTCACCCTTAGTGGGGTCCCAGCTCTGTCTCCAGATCCCCTGGACTCGGGCAGCGTCTCCTCTCCGGGAGCTGACACAGCAGACACGCAGGAGTTTGCGGCTTCACAGAGAAGGTTTATTTTTAGCACTTTGCTGGATCAGTGTAAGGGCACTGTACAAACACTTCCTCTCTGTCACTGAGCAGACAGGGGGAAGCTCCAGTGTCCATGGAGAGCTCCGTGGTGCAGGCACTGCCACGGATCCCAGCTGGGGACCCACGGGCCGGCGGCCCCCAGTCACTCCCAAGAGGTTTATGAGCACTAGATGTTTGCATAGATGTTACAGCAGCCTTTTGTCCTAGAGAGCTTGTCCATGGCCTCCAACACTTCAAAGAAGTTCATCTTTAGGGTCCTGGAGAGGAAGTGGTACCACACAGAATCACGGAGTCACTGAGGTGGGAAAAGCCCTCCCAGCCTAGGGAGTCCCCCCTGTGCCCAATTCCCACCTTGTCACCCAGCCCAGAGCACTGAGTGCCACGTCCAGTCCTTTCTTGGACACCTCCAGGGATGGGGACTTCAGTGCCTGACCACTCTTTCCATAAAGAAATTCTCCCTGAGATCCTCACTTATCCCTCTGCAAACAAGATGGAATATTTTCTGTCTGTCGTCTAAGGCTAGCCCCGATTTTAAATTGTTAAATGTTATTCCCTGAGGGAAATGATCCCGCAGGAGACACCCCACCAAGGACAAGGACACCTTTACTCTTGGTTGCTCCCTCAGGAGACCATCCTTGCATTGCTGCTATGTTTGGGGGTGTCCTGGGAGAGGTGGAACAGCTCTCACATTTCTCCACACCACACCCTCCCCAGGGTCTTCTGTCTGATCCCAGTGGGGCACTGATGTGCTGTGACTGGGGGAAATTAGGAATGGGGTGGAGGGGGAGAGCCAGCAGGATCCAGCAGGACCCAGCAGGCTCTTCCCTCTTCCTGGGCTTGCCAGGGACAGCTGAGCACTGGGAGTTGCAACACCCAGGGCTGGAGACGTGTGTCCTGTGTGTGCCCTCTGGATCTGCCCTGGGGACGGGAACAGTGAATCACTGCGAGTTGTGCAACAGGGTTTGGGGCTGGGGAGGTTCACTGGGGAGAGCTGTTACTCACACTGGGCTTGCTGGTTACTCAAACCCTCTCAGAGCAGGGCCCAGCCCGTGGCGTGTGCGGGGATGGAAGAGCCTTTGTCACCCTGGAGCCGCCCTGAACAATCCACTTTGTGTTCTCCAGCTCCTCCCCCAGCCAAGGCAGGGCCAGGGGCTCTGCTGCCGGGCCCGGGCACAGGTCAGGCCATGTGAGGAGGTTCTGGGCCCACTGTTCCTGGTTGCTCACCTCGAGGGATGAGCTCCCACGGAGCACAGGCTGTCCCAGCCCTTGGACACCTCCAGCTCACACCACTTCGGGAATGGGTGGAACCCCAAACTTGTGTAGGGACAAGAGCCCCAGTGGAGCCGTTAAACGGCCCCAGGTGCTCAGGGAGTTGTGTGAGGAGGAACAGAAAAGGGGTTGGATTTGCTCCACCTGCTGCCACAGGACGTTGTCCTCTTGGCAGGGGTCCCACAGCGTGGTCTGAGCTCTGGGCAGGAGCAGGAGCTCTGAACTCCGGCCACAGGCACGGGCAGGGCCCAGCTGCCTGTTCTGTTTCACTCTTGTCATCATGGAGGCAGGAGAACTCAAATGCACAGAATCACAGAATCATCCAGCTGGGAAAAGCCCTCCCAGCCCATGGATCCCCCCTGTGCCCCATCCCCACCTTGTCCCCAGCCCAGAGCACTGAGTGCCACAGCCAGGCCTTCCTGGGACACCTCCAGGGCTGGGCACTCCAAACCTCCCTGGGCAGCCCCTGCCAGTGCCTGACCACCCTTTCCAGCAGGAAATTCCTCCTCCTGTCCAACCTGAGCCTCCCCTGGCACAGCCTGAGGCTGTTCCCTCTCCTCCTGTCCCTTGTTCCCTGGGAGCAGAGCCCGACCCTCCCTGCTCCCCACTCCTGTCAGGGGGTTGCAGAGCCAGAAGGTCCCCCCTGAGCCTCCTTTGCTCCAGGCTGAGCCCCCCCAGCTCTGGTAAATTTTTTGAGACACCTTAGAAAACCCAATGTAAGAAAGAAGCTTTGCCAGAAAGTTGAATTCCTGAGGAGGGGAAGTGACAGCGACGCAAAGAGGGGTCCCCCACACTGCTGTTCTCTTTTCCAAACGTGGTGTTGGTTCTCACCAGGCTTCCAGGCCACATCCTGCTTCCAGCTGATCCTCACAGCCACAGGGAGCAGCTCCTGATAAGGCCGTTTGGGCGTGGCAGGAGAGGATGGTGTTTGGAGCAGCCCCAGCTGCCCCTGCCAGCAGGATCCAGCTCTCACCACCTCGGATCTCACCTCCCTGCCTCTCCCAGGCAGGTGGACAGACAGAGCACGAGAGGAACAAGAAAGGCAGCTCCCTGTCCCTGGAATGGGGATCCCCACTCCGATTTCTGTTCCAGCCACTCCGCTGGGAGCAAAGGACTCGGTCAGTGCTTCAGGTGACAGGGAGGACACAGAGGGCCTGCAGAGCCTTTGCCAGGTGGCTCCATGTGCTGGACGTGGCTCTTATTTCTGCACAGTCACCTCGGCCTGGCTTCTGACGTGGCAGTGCCTGGATCCATCCCAGGAGCCTCCTGCCCTCGCCGCTGCCCGGTGCACCAGGACAGAGCTCGGCCCTGAGCTTGCAGGGGCTCCTTCCCCAGCTGGAATCCCTGCAGACCTCGGTGTTCCCGTGCCTCTGCCCCATCCAGGACAGACAACCCCTGCAAGAGGTTCAGCCCCTCTGTCTGCTGCCAAAAATTCCTGCCCTCCAGTGGTGGCACCGCCTGCTCGTGCTGGGTCAGGATCCCGTGCTGCTGAGGGGGGAAGAAGCCCGGCATTGTTGTCAGTGCTTTGCAGAGCCAGTCACAGCCTCGTTTCCTGCGCTTGGCAATTGGGGAGCGGAGCCACGGTGGAACAAGGGGCTCAGAGGTGGCGACTGCCGACTCCCCACCGCTGCTGGGTGAGGCTCTGACCTCTGGCAAGGGCAGCTCCTCTCCCCTGGCAGCCAGGGACTCCCACCTGGAATCAGGGAATCGCAGAACCAAGAACCATTGGATTAGAAAAGCCCTCTGAGACCATCGAGTCCAACAGTTCCCCAGCACTGCCGAGGCCACCACTCACCCACATCCCCAAGTGCAACATCCCCACGTTCCTGGCAAGGAGGCAGTGCCAATTCCAGCTCCTGATTCCTTCTGGAGCAGCCCCCCTGCTGACTGAGGGGCTCCCTGGCAGGTTGTTAATGATAAATCAACAGTTACCCGCGAAGGAAGATGAGGTGTTAGTCCCCGGATCCACGGAGAGCAGGGCCTGCCCCACACACACACACTGGGCACTCATTCTGCTTGCCCGAGGGTTTGGAGGGATCTCGGGAGCGTGGGAATGTCCCTGGGCAGCAGTGGAGTGCAGCACAGGCAGACTCTGCCTTTTTCAATTCCATCTTGCCAGCAGGTTGTTAAACCCTTTAATCTGGGAGCGGCGATGCTGAGCCGCTGCCTTACAGACGCTGCTCACTCCACATCTGTTGGAAGCCACGGCCCAAGATAAAAGCCTGGAGCCTCCCACGTGGTTGCCAGCCATCCCTTTTCCCTCCCCTCTCAGCCCCCTGGGACGTTGGCAGAGGTGGGAAGAGGGATGGTGGGGCACAGCCCGGGGCTGCGGCACCTTGGCAGGAGGCCGCGGAGTTCCCGAGGTCCCGCAGGAGCCGGGACACGGCTCGGGAGCCACAGACAGGGAGCACTGGGCACGTGGGGGCTCCCAGCCTGCAGCTCCCAAACCAGGCAGGGCTGCAGCTCCTTCCAGCCTCCTGGTAGTGTGGCTGGTGGTGAGTGAAGTGGGACAAGACGCTGCTAAGCCATCCAGCCCCACATCCCAACAGGATTTCTCCTCTGGAGCCACGTCTGCTCCTCGGAGCAGCCCCAAGGGCCTGCAGGAGAGGCAGCACTTTGCAGTGGGTTTTATTCCTCATGTCCTGTTCATCAGGAGACACAGCTGACCCCTCCCCTGGCTGTTTGGAGCATCCAGGGGTCATGTGGAGCGACCTGGCTGTGGAGGGGAAGACGTTGGAGCTCTGCACCCTGCGCTGGCTCCCGTTCCCCCGCTGCCGTCTAATTATAGAGGAGTCAGCTGCCGGCAACTGAGCCACCCTAAATCCAGGCTTATTACGAGCTGTGCTGGCCCCTCCGACTGCCCCCCTTTGGATATGGGCTGAATCTCGCACCAGATCCCCTTCCTGCCTTCCCAGCTGGCTGGGGGGCTCCCCTTTCCCACCCTCCTGTGCCGTGCCCGGGCAGTCCCTGCTCAGTTCACTGCCTGAAAAGCCAGAAATCCTCTGATCTCAGCCCAAGGGCTGGAGCCCGAGGCCCTGCTGCTTCCCAGGGATCTGGCACGTGGAAATGGGGACGGCAGGAGGGACGCCAGGAGCGTGGGGTGGGTGAGGAATGCCACAGGCAGCTGGGCACATGGCTGAGCTGAACCACAGAACTGCCCTGGAGGGGGGAAATGGGAAACAAATCCGGTGGATCTCTGGGAATGGTGGTTTGGGGGGAAGCAGCCAAATGCCTGCCAGACCCCCAGAAACCCTTTTCCCCTGGAGAAGCCAAGAGGGCGAGAGGGAGAAGGGCCATCGGTGGGGGACAGTGAGAGGATCCACCTTCTGAGCCCGAGCCAGGAACACCGTCCCACCAGGATGTGTCCTTTTCCCATCAGGGAACACAGGCTTTTCTCCAGGACTGCTCCAGCCAACAGCAGTACCAGGTGGTCAAACCCCAAGGGAAAGCTGAAGGAATGTCAGCCCGGTGACTCAGCAGAGGCTGCTGTCCCTGCTCCCGACCCTGCACTTCCCTGTGTCCCTGCAGCAGCACTGCAGAGGGATGAGGGCCCCCCTGGGGACAGTGGTGCCTCCGGGGACCTCACTGGTGTGGCAGGACTGTGCCCCAAGGACACCTGTGAGCCCCAGCCCCTTTTCCTGGTGACAGCAGGGGTAGGATTTTGGCAGCTCCTGCTGCAGCTTTGGTTTAAGCACCACAGGGCTGGGCAGTGGCAGCAAGCTGGGAATGGCACTAGGACCAGGGGATGAGACTGAGAGGGGGCAGGTGAGGCCAAGCTCCATTCTGCATCCTGCCCTGGGCTGGGGCTCCGGTCAGAGCAGATCCGAGGCACCCTCGGAGCAGGGTTTGGGAGCAGGGTTTGGGAGCAGGGAGCTGCTCTCCAGTCCCACAGTGGGTGCAGCTGGGGCGGAACAGGGTGGCTCGGGGAAGCTGCTGCTCCAGGGCACGTGGGGCAGGTCCTGCCGTGTCCCTGGCACCCTTTCCCTTGGGCACGGCCCTGGCAGAGCGCCCAGCACGCCACAGGGACCGTGGGGCTGAGGGAGACAGGATGGGTCCCACGGGTGGCAGAGCGTCCCCGCCAGCCCCGGCTCTGGGTGTCCCTTCCCTCCCACGGCTGTCCCTTCCCTCCCACGGCTGTCCCTTCCCTCCCACGGCTGTCCCTTCCCTCCCACGGCTGTCCCTTCCCTCCCACGGCTGTCCAGCTCCGGCTGCAGCCGCTGCCCGGGCCAGGCAGCCAGGGAATGCTGAGAGACCCGTGGGAAGGGCATCCCAAGGTCTCATGGCAGCCCTGCTGCCAGCCGAGGGTGTCGAGTGTCTCAGTGGCAGGGGGTACATGGGGCCACACCCCCCCCGGCTCCCCCCGGCTCCCCCCACCTGCAAGAGCTGAGAGTTGGCTCGTTTGGCATTTTCCAACAGTTTTTTTCCACGTGGAGAATCTCTCTGGAGCAGAGCTCGGCTGTTTCCACAGGAGCATGGGGGGGGGAGGCTCAGGTGGCTGTAGCCCCTTTCCATCCCATCCCACACACCATAACTCCCCCATACACACCATAACTCCTCTATAGACACCATATCCCCCCCATACACACCATAACTCCCCTATAGACACCATATCCCCCCCATACACACCATAACTCCCCTATACACACCATATCCCCCCCATACACACCATAACTCCCCTATAGACACCATATCCCCCCCATACACACCATAACTCCCCCATAGAGACCATATCCTCCCTGACACCATATCCCCCCCATACATACCATATCCCCCCCATACACCCCATACACACTAGTTCCCCCATACACACTAGTTCCCCCATACACACAAGTTCCCCCATAGACACCAGTTCCCCCATACCCACCATAACTCCCCCATAGACACCATATCCCCCCCGACACCATATCCCCCCCATACACACCAGTTCCCCCATACACACCATACCCCACCATGGAGCAAAGGGTGGGGGCAGAGGGGGCTCAGGGCTCTGCCCTGGCTGATTTGGGGGCTGCTGTGGGGCACCCCAGGGCTGGCCCAGGAGGGGCACGAGGAAGGTTCAGTGTCCCCTCAGCCCCAGCACCCCAGGACAGCCCCAAGGGACAGCCCTAAGGGTCACCCCAGGCCGCCAGCCATCAGCAGAACACTCTGGTCCCGTGGTGACACCTGTGGGCAAGGGACTGTCCTCGTGTGTCACCCTGCCCAACCTGGCACCCTGCCATACCTGGCACTGGGTCCCCACATGTCACTCTGCCCCTACCTGTCACCTCACCCTCCCTGTGTCAGCGTGTCCCTACAGGTCACCTGTGACATGTCACACTGTCCCTGCCTGTCACCCCCTCCCTACATGTCCCTGCCCCTGCCGTGTCACCCTGTCCCTCTGTCGCTTTGTCCTTATCTCGTGCCCTGCCTAAATATCCCCCGATCCCTGCGTGGCACCCGCCTGCCCGTCCCTGCAGCCTTTGGGACATGGGCACCACGGCTGGGGCAGCGGGGCTGTGGTGCCCTCGAACCCACCCTCGGGAACACGGGGGCAGTGCCACAGGCAGAGCCAGGCAGCACTGGTGTCCCTGCCCACCGGATTTGGTGTCCCTGCCCCAGGGCACAGGGATCTGGGAGGGAGCCAGGGCGAGGGGGCTGCAGCAGGGACGGGATGATCAGGCCCGTGCTGGCCCGTGGGGGGCTGTCCATGATGGCTGTGCCTGCAGTGGGGGGCAACTGCAGGGCCCTGCGGATGGATCCTTCCCTGGGAAAGGGCAGGAGAGGGAAGGTGGCCCCAGCAATGGCTCCTCCATAGCCCCCATCATGTCCCCACCCCATTCTCTACCTCCTCCATCTCCCCATCACCACCTCCATCCCTCCTCCATCCCCTCTCCACAATATCTCCATCCCTCCACTGCTATCCCTTCCCCCAACTCCTCCAACCCCCATGACCCCCTCCATCCCTCCTCCATCCCCCTTTATTGCCTCCTCCTTTTCCTGCCACCCTCTCCATCACCTCCATCGCCCTCCATCCCTACTGCATCATCCCTCTCATCCCCCTTCCACCCCCCTCCATCCCTCCTTCCATCACTGCTGCATCCCCCCTCCCACCCCTCTCCAACATGCTGAAGCCTCCCCTGAAGCTTTCATCCCCTTCCATCCCCCTCCATCCCTCCTCCATCCCCCTCCATCCTCCCTCCACCCTCCCCATCCTCCTCTCCATCCCCCACGTCTCCCCTCCATTGTCCCCCTCCATCCCACTTCCATCTCCCCTCCATCCCTGCTGCATCCCCCTCCCACACCCCCTCCTTCACGCCCTCCTTTGTCCCCTGGTCCCCCCTCCATCACCGGGGCTGTGCCTTTGGGGAGGGGACTGTTCCCCCCTGGAAGCTCCTCCTGGAGCCAGAGGACTTGGAGAGGGCCAGGCAGGCCTGCATATGGCAGCAAACACCCTAATTAATTAATTATGGGATAATCTCTGGTTCCGGGGAAGGAACGGGTGGCTGCTCAGACTCGATTAACCACAAGAATGTTTAATCTCCCCCCACAGCCCCATAAGGAACCGGGATTATTCCCACTGGGCTGTGCAGGGAAGCACCAGCCTGCGAGGGGACACAGAGCCTGGGGCAGCCCAGGGACCCCCAAACACTGCAGGGGGCTGCCAAGTGACTCTGCCAAGGGTGACCCTGCCCGGCTCCACAGGGATGGG